TACCTGGCTGGCGCGAGTTACGTGCAGGAGCGAGGAGTCGAGCTACGAGGCGGTCCGGGTTTTACGCGGCGTCTCCCAATTACCACGACTCGGAAAATCACGTTCTACCTGGCTGGCGCGAGTTACGCGCGGGCGCGAGCAGTTGAGTTGGGCACGCAGTGGCCCATACTTGTACACGGCAACCAATACCCGTCACACGTGACAGTCGGGCGGTGTGATTTACGCGATGCAACACAAAGTGAGAATACCTGGCAGCTCCGATATTGTATATTACTCGTAGTATATGTTTTATCTATTACGTGTTTTCTCGCACACGACGTGGGCATATGTATCAATCCCCCGCTACATTATTTCAGGGTCGTAAGCCTCATTTGGGCGTGTTGTATGTATTTTTCTACGCGATGTGCCAAATACTTGTGCGGTGCCGGACTTTAAATCCCGCTGTTACGACCGAAAGGGGACTTTAAACCCGGTGTCGCGCTGGGCTCCACCCTTCAGGTTTACTCTCTGAGTACGACCCACATACATACTTTACTCTGTTCCTGTCACCCTGTATTGTACAGAATTGAATCTGTATTGATTTCGAGACGAAACGACCAGTCGTCTCCTGCATCGCTGCAACGATGCCGAAGTCCGTGCATATTTATTTTGTTACAGTACTTGATACTATGTCTTCGGACGTACAGTACATTCATCCGATTAGTGTTCGCACCTCCTCGCGGCCTTACCAAGAGGGTCGGATCAGTTGTACCCGTATGGAAGAAGTGTACATGCAAAGCATGTACTCGTAGTAGTGTGAGCTGCGCTCTGTATACCGTCGGGTCAATTCTAGACAAGCCTGACGAGAGCGTAGCAAGAACGGGCCAGTCAGTTATTCAAGACGCGTTGAGTACGCTCGCGTATTCCGCTGCTGACTGAGGCGTGCGTGCGAAGAAGCACGTGCCCGAGCCTGGGGTTCATCCGACCCCGCCGCCTGACGAGTCTTTTCAGACGAAACGGAGGTCACCGTAGCGGCCATACTTTTTATCTGTCTAGCTTCTAGTTACTCTACGTCTCGCATCGCTCGGAGCTCGCTTCGCTCGCTCCTCGCTCGCTCGCACGATTACTTATTTGCTCCGAGATCCGCTATCTCGTCGGCTGAACCAATCTCTCACATCAACATCCCGATCTCCTGCTACACCCGCCCGCCGGCCTCACGACCACGCCCGCCGCTCTGCATCACTCGTTCTCAGTCCAGATCACGCCGAATTTCGTCATGGACGTCGATCAACCTGTCCCGCCGCAACCCTCGTCGCAGCAGGACCCCGCGAACAAGCGCAAACGCGTCAACACGAATGGCGACGCGGAGGAGATCAATACCAACACCAACACGACCAGTGCGCAGCCGCAAGGCAACGCGCTCGCTGTCCCGCCGGTCCCGTATCCCGCGGACTGGTCTCGCCTCATGGCGGACACGTCACTGGTCAAGCCCACCCCGGCCGTAGTGCGGAAGTTCGCTGAGTTTTACAACTCGGCGATTTCACACTACTCGAACGCGATTCGTCTCCAGACGAAGCGTATTCGCACCGCGGAGGCTTACGAGGACTCGGTCCGGAAAGGGGAAACCCCGCCCGTCGTGTCCGAGTCATTGCGCGGTCCCTCCCTCACTATGCCTCCCGGCCTTGCGAGCGGAGACGAGGACGAGGCTTTTAAAGCCGCGCGCTTGGCGTACAACATCTCTCTTGCCGAGACTCGCCGTCTCGCGACTGCATTCATGACCGCGGGTTACAACGCGATCAAGATTGCCGGCGATCTTTCAAAGCTCGCCCAGTCGCTGCAAGAGAACATGATTGTCGACCTTCAGTCGTACGCGTACGAGGTCCTCAAGGCCGCGAACGCACCTAAGACGCTGATTTGGTCGCCCTTCATCGACGCTGTCGGGAAGGTGCTCGGCGAGCGCATGACCAATCTCCGGATTGATTATGTGACTTCGGAGCGGACTCGCATTGAGGACAGCACTCGCAAGACTGCTTCCCTCGCGACCGCGACGGCCGAGGCTGAGACGAAGGCGGCTTCCAAGTCCGTCCAAGAGCTCGTCCAAGAGGAACTCGAACTGTACATCAGTACGTCTCGAGCAATTATTTGCCCGCCTCTCGCACCTTCTCACCCTTCTTCCTCCAGAACGCAACAAGCTCGAATTGAAGCGCAAGGAGCCCGACGCCGCCAGCAACTCGCAGGCGAAACCGGCCAAGAAAGCGAAGAACGACTCCGCCGCGCAGAACACGCCCGCGTCGACTTCCAAGTCGAACGGAAACGGAAACGCGCAGGAACCCTCGACCTCGAAGAATTCGAAGCCTCGGAGGTTCCACTCGGGCGGAGCTGCAGGAAACGGCGGAGGAGGCGGAGGAAACAAGGCGCAAGGCAAGGCGAAGGCGAAGGCGAAATAAATCGTGCCGTTGTGCACATCGGCGCGGTGCATTCGTCGTCGTCCTCCCTCGAATTGCAGAACACTGTTTCTTCCTGGTCCCACCCTCCGCATATCTCGTTCCATCGTTTGAACGTTGACTCGTATCCTCGCATGTTTTTCTCAGCGTCTCTCGAGCTCAGATGTCGTTATATCGTCTCTCGCATGTCTGTACTGTATTTTGATACACGGATTACGAACCGCGCGTTCCATAATCTTACAGACGTGAGCTTGACGTTTGCGCAGATGAAGATGCTGGCGCTGAACTCCAAGTTCGCGCCGAAGCCTCTGAAGACGAAAGTCGACAGTGCTCTCGCATCTTGGGATGACTTCAGCCGTCGTTTACGGCTCCAGTATCACGCTGGGAAGTACTCCGGTGAATATGATCAGTTCGATGACCCAATGCTCGATCGAGGGCAACCGCGGTACATCTCGAAATTTCATATTCCCAACCCCAATGCATCTGCGCCCGCTTTGAAGTTGCACAATGAGCTTGCACTTCGAGCTGCTCGAGATTGTTTAGAACTGCAGGTACTCGGTGCTCAGACCTTGCATGTTCGCCCCAACCTCAACCACAAGGAGCTTGACAACCTCCTTCGACTTCTTCAGCAGAAACAGCTTCTCGCTGTCCCTGCAGACAAGAATCTCGGCCTCTGTCTGGTGACAGCGGAGTGGTACCACCAGCAGGCGATTGAACTGGTGGATAACCCTTCCTACTCTGAGGAAGAACCGGACCATGATGCCCTTCGCTTGACGCTTACCATCGTCGTGTCGTCGTGTGATCATATGTTGACCCGCCAGCAACTGAAATGGTTGCTGGCACCGGCGGAAGCCCTGGTCGATAAGGTCCCGGTTATGAAGGTTCTACCCAAAATACACAAGCGGCCTGTACTAGGACGTCCCATTGTACCAGCTTTTGGCACATTGCTGGCGAATGCTTCGTCCTGGGTAGATTTTCGCCTCAAGCCCCTTCTTGCGCGTTATGATTGGATTCTCCCAGACTCCAAATCATTTTGTCGAGATCTCACTGGTCTCAACATCCCGCGTGGATATGATATCTGGCTCGTATCCGGCGATGTCGTGGCGATGTACCCTAACATTCCGATTGAGGATGGGGTATGTCAGATCGCATCCTTGCTGGGGGTTTCCCCGATGCGCTTCGAAACGCTCGAGGAAGCTGCGGAACTGCCTATACATTCGTTGGACGAGCTCACCGTGCTCTTACTTCGTCTCGTTCTGCAGTTTAACTACGTGTCATTTAATGGGCGCACCTGGCGGCAGGTCGTGGGGACCGCAATGGGTACGGCGCTTGCGCCTACTTACGCAAATCTCTTCTTAGCCAGCTATGAGGTGCATGTGCTCCCGGAATTTCGGCAACACTGCCTGTTCTATAAGCGCTATATCGACGATGTCTTCGCTGTCGTTCGAGGGCCTTTGAACGTTGTCCGGAAATTCCAGAAGCACTTCGGGGAGCTACACCCGAATATGAGGATGGAGTGGACGCACTCGCAAGCCACTCTTCCCTTTCTCGATATACATGTTGCTCTTGAGTACCCTCAGAGTGTACCACGTGGGCTCTCCCGAGCTGAAGTGGTTACCCGTGTATATCAGAAAGCGATGAACTCCTACCTCTACATTCCCTGGCGTTCTTGCCATTCTGATGCCTCCAAGAAATCTTGGGTTAAAGGCGAGCTTGTACGCTATGTCAGAATCTCTTCGCGCGAAATGGACTTTGCGAAGATCAAGAGCCTGTTTGCCATGCGTCTTCGGTCACGCGGCTACCCGGGGAAGTGGATCAAGTCTGTCTTTTCAGAAGTGTCATACACCGAGATGCGCCCGCGCGCGCTCCTTCCACGCCCACCTCTTACCGAGGAACAACGTGCGAATCGGTTGTTTGTTCTGAAACTCACCTGGAATCCAGTATGGGAAGCTGTAGACTTCGGCCCCATCTGGCGCACTCTGCGCGATGCATTCGAGGAGACCGGTCTGGCTAGCTCCAGTGATCGGATCCTCGCATCATTCAAAAAGCCAGAGTGCCTTGGTGACCGGTTGAATGGAATCAACCGTAAGACACTTGTATCCTACCAGGCTCAGGTTGTGTAAAGCAGTTTGGGGTCAGAACCTTTGGGTGACTCGCCGACTCGCGCGGAGGCCTACGGCCTCCCACCGCGCTTCGTCGTCTCATCACCCTTCAGGTTTACTC